GATAGACACTGGGAACAGGGACAAAACCGCATGCTTAAGTAGACTAGTAACAGTCACAGAATTAGAAATAGGGATAATGGAGGATGAGTAGCTTGGAGAACTTACAAAATTGCCAGTTAGATACTTCATTTAAAGTTATGTCTAATGCTGATACCAGAAAGCAAACTTAGAAGTGCAGAATTATAATAGCTAACCAAAGAAAATCCCTGCCTTTGGGAATAAAGTTACTGTAGTCATGAGAACTTCCAAGATGTTCAGGCTTCAGTATTATTTTTCATCAAAAGTAAGTGGATACTCCAAAAGTGATAAATATTGCCAGATGCCTGAGTCATATGGGTTTGTTTTGTTGTTTTCCAAAGCAGAATGTGCAAAAATCTGTGACTGTTGTTTTGCTGAAGTGCTCCTAACCTCTCTACCTGATTTACTTGCAAGGGATTTTTGTATTCTTCTGGTGAAAATCTTCCAACTGAAATTAGAGCACATCTCCCTGCTAGACTTATACAAATATAAGTGTGGAACTATCCCGTCAGGGAAAAAAAGTTGTATGTGCTTGCTTGTACTTTACTGAAAAGTTTTGCTCTGTAGCTGACAACATATTTCTTTGTAGATGTCCAAATACCACAGCCCTGACAACATAAGCCCACAAATGGAGAAACATGCTGCTGTATTTCGCCTTCTTTGAGAGGAGAGGACCAAGAAAGCCAAGGATTTGGAACTGGCCTGCATTATAAACATGTTCTTATTTTGGGGAAACTTTTTTTATAATTGTAAATACAAGTTTTGTAGACAGAGCCTCACTCCCGCTTACCTTTTCGAAGACTGGGAAGTACCTGTTAGTTGCCCTCTCCTTAATTGAGTCAAGATTTTTCTCCTTTGCCTCCAGTGGAGAGAAAGGAAACATCAAAATCATTTGCATCAGATCTATTATTCCTTCCACGTACATGTCAATCCTGTTGGTGAGGGAAAGACAGTAGAAAAGAGCACAGAAGTTATTTCATCTGTATTCCAGTTAACTAAGGCAAATGTTGTATCACCACCATAGTGCAAGTTTTCATAGCCAAAGCTAAACATGAACTAAAGCTAAGCTTATGACACCAAGCTGTGTGGTTCAGTTGATGTGCTGGAGGGAAGGAATGCCATCCAGAGGGACCTTGACACACTTGTGAGGTGGGCTGATGCCAACCTCATGAAGTTTAACCATGCCAAGTGCAAGGTCCTACACCTGTGTGGGAGCAATCCCAGGCACAGCTACAGGTTGGGCAGAGAAGATATTCAGAGCAGCCCTGCGGAGAAGGACTTGGGGGTGTTGACTGATGAGAAAATGAACATGAGCCAGCTTCAGTGTGTGCTTGCAGCCCAGAAAGCCAACCGTATCCTGGGCTGCATCAAGAGGAGCGTGACCAGCAGGTCGAAGGAGGTGATCCTGCCCCTCTACTCTGCTCTTGTGAGACCTCACCTGGAGTATTGTGTGCAGTTCTGGTGTCCTCAACATCGAAAGGACATGGAACTGTTGGAACAAGTCCAGAGGAGGGCCACGAGGATGATCAGGGGACTGGAGCACCTCCCGTATGAAGATAGGGTGAGAAAGTTGGAGCTGTTCAGCCTGGAGAAGAGAAGGCTGCATGGAGACCTCATAGCAGCCTTCCAGTATCTGAAGGGGGGCTATAGGGATGCTGGGGAGGGACTCTTCATTAGAGACTGTAGTGACAGGACAAGGTGTAGTGGGTTAAAACTTAAACAGGGGAAGTTTAGGTTGGATATAAGAAGGAAATTCTTTCCTGTTAGGGTGGTGAGGCACTGGAGTGGGTTGCCCAGGGAGGTTGTGAATGCTCCATCCGTGGCAGTGTTCAAGGCCAGGTTGGATGAGGCCTTGGGTGGTATGATTTAGCATAAGGTGTCCCTGCCCATGGCAGGGGGTTGGAACTAGATGATCTTAAGGTCCTTTCCAACCCTAACGATGCTATGATTCTAAATTCTTTTAAAAGGACTAAAAGCCTGTTTCTGTCCAGGAGCATTTCAGAAGCAGTGGTTAAAATCTAAGGAAAGGCTGGAGTCCTTGCTTTCTAATGTGCTAGCCTTTCTCAGGCCTTTCTACTGGATATGCAGGATTCAATTTGTTATAGATAATGCAGTCATCAAATAACAGATTGCTCATTAAGTGGAAGGAGGTGTTACCGTACAGGGCTCTCTCCTTTAAGTCTTTCCCGTAGAGATTGTATTTCCCTGCTATGTAGCTGAGGATAGCTCTGGTCTGCACCATCTTCATCCCATCGATCTCAACGAGGGGCACTTGCTGGAACATCAGGCTTCCATCTAGGGTGGAGTGTTGAAGGAAAGCTTCTTAGTTCCTCCTAGACTGCTAGCTTTACAGGAGAGTGACAGACTGAGCACATTTCTTTTGCAGTGTAGATCATTGTTGTCTTGCCCTAACTGTAAAACTCCATGCAGTAAACTAACACTGTGGGAAAGATCTAGTATTGTCTAGCCTGCTCATGCTTTTGTAGCTAGGTCACCCTAGTGCAGCTGGGCCCCTTACTTTACATCATTGCCAGAGTTTCACTGGCTAATGGGAATTGGCACTGCCTGTTCCTTTGCACTTCAGGACCCGGCCTCATGCTGCCAGGAAAAGTGAGCCAGTACTTTGAACGCAAGGGATTGGAGGAGAATAAAGATCTGTGTTAAAACTAAGCTTAAACAAATCTGATTATTTTGAATGCAGATCAGTTACCTGTCAGGGACATACACAAATGAACAGAAAATGAATGGGGTAGTACCACAGCAAGACTGAGCTACTGGAATAAAGGGAGAGCTCAGGCTGCTTTACCTTACAAAGTGAGCGGCAAGGACTGTGACAGGATTTGTTGTTTAAGTGCAGTCACTCCAGGGACAAAAGTTTTAGAGTTCGCTTAGGTGTTTGGTACAGGCCTAGCCTCTGTGTCATTCCACAACAATTTAAGCCTACTTAGATACATCTTTTAGTCCATTTTCTCCTGATGCTGGTAGGAGCATTTATCTGAGCCTTCAGTGAGACAGCTCTGAGAGCTAAGCTGACATTCAACATAGCAAAGTCAGCCTTTTCTAGACCAGTTTTCTGCTGGAGATAATCCCTCCATTGACACAATAAGAGCATCCAGAGAATAATCCTGCCCTGTTAAAAATCACAGCAAAACTCCAAATCCAGCTAGACAGCTGCCACCTTGCATTACTCAAAGCTAATAATTGAAGTGCTCAGTTTTAATCCATTCAGTGCAAGGGTTTGGGTACAAGGGTTCATTTTAACAGACATATGTTTGCTTTTTGCTCCACAGAGCTGTTAAAACACTTTGCTAGTCCAGAATTAATAAACATTATTCACTCATTCCATATTGTGAGTTTGCAGTTTTAATTCAAAGAATAGTTCTGTCTGCAGCCTGCATTTATTTCTTGTAAGCATTCATAAAAAGATTTTATCTTTTCAGAAGACACTTCTGCAGCTTAAGGAAAATTATGACTTGGTATCTACCCAGCACAAACACAGCAGAATGGAAAAACTGACAGCGCTGGAAGGATATTTTTCAGCAGAAAGATACAAAGTAAAAAATAAAGTCTGACTTTCTGGCCCTTGATAAAAAATGATGCAGCAAATGTGAATAAACTGAACGCATGGTTTGTTTCTTATCTGCAGAATAGAGGGATTTCTGTCATGGTCAGTAGCTTCTCCTCACTTTGCAGTGAGAACCAATTCACACAACCCCTGCATTGAATATATGTGTAGGATTAAAAGCAGTTTGCAAGTTGTTTGCAGATTGGATTGTGCTGTTGGAAAGTTGTCTGTGGAGCATGCATGAAAAACAACCATCTAGAATCATTTGTCACTGACCAGCAGAGCTTGTTGATATCCAAGTAACAACTTGGGCAACACAGATTGAGCCAAACTAGCTATCTCAGACCAGCAGGTACAGGTCTGGCCAAGCTGATGCCGCCAAAATAGCTGTCTATAAACTGCCTGTTGGGGTCAAGCCTTGGCTCAGGCTTCATCCTGAACACTGCTGGAGCATTGCTTAGGTCATTAGCTAGCATAGGCCAAAGTCACACCTGGACCATTCTAACCGCGTGGTGGTGTCTAAACAGAGGATAACCTGGCAAAAAAGCATGTTGGTAGGGAGAGAAAAAATATTAGAAGTAGCGTGGGGTTGTGTTGCTGTGTTCTGTCCTGCCATGCATGACCAGCAGCATTCCAGAATTCCCTTTATCAGGATGGCTAATTTGTCTTTCTTCAACCCATCCTATTAACCCTCACCTTTTTCTCTGTGTTCTCACCCTCTTAAGCTCTCTATACATACATAGAAGTCCTTGATCTTCTTTGTAAAACTTCCCTATCCTTTTCATCACCATCTAATTTTTCCCTCTGGATACAGATAAGCTTGGATACTGTATCCAGGATTATACCACTCTGGATTAATTAGTTGTGTGAAGCAAATTCAGATTTGGGCTTTCAGTACCTGAGCTATCATATTTAGAGCTATAACTGGTGTCTTTATACTGCACTGCCCCACCATGTTATCAGAATCCCAGGCAGCTGGACCTGAAAATTTAATTCTGATCTTCTTGATACCACTTATGTTCATTTTGTGTTCATTTTAGTTTTCCTGTCAGGATTTCTTTAAACACAGCTTTCCTTGCTGAGCAAACAGCCACGTCCTCTTCCAAGGCTCCTAGTGTGTCTTCACAAGCCCAGCCTTCTGTGAGGTTTCTCTTACATGTCGTGGGCAGCAGGTAAACTGCAGGGCAGGTACACTCTAGCACAATCCCAATTCCTTCCCACCCTGGCAGCAAGGTCTTCTCCTTCCAGGGTGGCTGCAAAGGGGTTGGTTTACTGCTGGATTTCATCTGGCCAAATATCAAGGGCAGTAGCTGGGGATATGCTCTGGTTTTGGGAACCGATCTCACTCCCATGGTTTGCCTTTGTGGCTTGCTAATTTGGTCACAGACTTTCCACAGGTCTCCCCCACTGGCTTTCTGCTTTTTAACTGGTGGAAGCTTCATGGCTCAAGGTTTATCTTGCTTTGAACTGCCACTAAGATTTTCACACTGAGCCTATAACAAAGGAAAACTGGCTTTCCTGAGGATTTTGGTGCCATGCTAACCTTTCTTTCAGAGGCTTATCTCACTGAGGTTCAGAACCAACATACAGGTACATCTATACTAGCCAACTCAACAACAGTTAAGGCCAGCTGGTACAGGCTGGCTGCATTCATTTTATTTAGGTCTCTGCCTATAAAGCATGGTGGTCACATCTAAATGACATCTTAAAAATAGCCCTTGGCCTGAGACAACTCCCAGATGATGCCTAGGATTTGCTTCAGGGACTGCTATTTGTCCTGGACAAAAAATGTGCCAGGATCCATGCTAACAGTTCAACAGCACAGAAAATTAAGTTGATTAAACAGGAATGTTTGCTACCCCTGTTTACTGTACTACAGTGAACAGTCACAGAAGCTACAGCTTTTAGATGATAGGAGTCGTTTGGCACTGAAAACAATAGGTTACTCAAAACTAGTATTTCAGTATTCTAGGTGTGCACCTAGAAGTTTGCACTGGTTTAAATAAACTAATTTTAAACCACAAATTTAGCTGAACTGGAGCAGGTTTTTCGAGAGTCTAAGCCTCAGACACTGGGATTCTTACCTTTGATTATCTTTTCATACTGCTCTTTTGTTTCCAGAAAAATTTCTTCAAACTGGAAGGGGGAGAGACAATAGTGTTATATTGCTGTATTTGAACATTTTTCTTTTCCAAGTGTGCATATAATCGTGCACAGAATGATGGAACAAAGCAAAAAATATTGGGTTGGATCTTCAACTTCGCTGTTTGGCTGAAGAACCCTGTCAAATGTCCTGAGGATCCCTAGCACATCCTCACGGTTGGGAAGATGCAGAAGGGCTTGGCCAGTTCTGCCCCAGTGCACTGATGCGGAAATAACTTAAGGGTAGAAACAGAGTACAGACATCTACGGGAGGAAGACAGGTTGCAGCCAGTGTCAAGAGAAGCACAAGGTAAATCAACTATTTCTGACCCCATCCTGGGCCGTATAAGTCAACAAAATGCTTCTCTTTATGCACATTGTAACTGAAAAGTAAATAAGGGCCTTTAAATAAATCCACATTTTGACCCCTTGTGATGAATTACTTCAGGGGACTGCTACTAGCTTTAATGAACTCCAAGCTCCACCAAGTTTGCATCCAAAATATTAACCATCAAATAAGCTAGTTACAAACCTGCAGAGCTATGCGTCAAATGCATTTAGCCACCCTCTTGCAGCCATTTCCCCTCGCGTGCATGTTAAATTGGTCCTCACTGAGGCCAGTTGAAAACAGCAGTCTGGAACACTCTACTGAGTCTCAACTAACCTCCACACCGGCTGCTGCCAACAGCCATCGTATGGACTCCATTCGCCCCCTTCCATTAAGGTAGGTAAGCCTGGGCTTCCCAGACATGCTTCTGAGCTCCTGGTTCCCTGAAAAACATTAAGCAGAAAGCACACAGCACCTCCTAAAACTGGTGTCAGTACCATTATTTTGAGGGGAGAATAGAGCCTTTTATTCTCACTATGCCTGTTGACGTTTAAACTTAACCTGGTTTAAAACATAAAATGAGAGATGGACTAGTCACACCACACAGATATATGAAGCTTTCTGCAGTGCTGTTAGGGAAGTTTGTTATGACTATAACCAAATACAGACAAGTTTAAACAAGTGGCAGGAGTCCCAAGCTATAGGAGGAACCTTGCTGCATTTTAACACAATCATACAAAGCTACTGAAAATCCTACCACACTCTCAGGGAAGTTACCCTCATTCCCAGCATCCTCATTGAAGAGAGAAAAAGAAAAGTAAAACATGTTTTACCGGTAGCTAATTGCTGGAGCTTCAACTGCCATGCACTTCTTTCCCCAAGTAGGGGCAAATGAATTGTTAATCTTCCTTTTTTTTCCATGAAACAGGCTGAGCTGCTTTGGGACTAGCATTCCCCCTTCACTAAGTTGTTACTATCATTCACTAATGACTGGGATGAAACAAAAGCTTAAAATGGGTATCCTAATTGTGTCCTAATGATTCAGAAAGAGTGCTTGATTTTAAAATTTAGCAGAATACCACATTTTTCTCAGAGCCCGAATCTTTGAAGTCACAGTGCAGTAAGTGTTCTTAAAGTACATTTTGAACGTATTTTGTCAAAACTTGATTTTAAAGAAAAATCAGATTGACAGTTCTCTCTTGAGCAATTTTGGTAAGAATCAGGTCATGCTACTACAATAAATAGGGATATTTGGGGTAATTTAGACAATACAATCCAAATGCACATAAAGGAAAAAATGATCACCTCCTGTTTTAAAGTGCGAATAGCTTATGCTAATTACAATGTTTTGCCTCCAATACCGTGTTTTTACTAGTTTCTGCACACTGTGTGACTATCTTTCACTATATGGCAGTGCAGCTTATAGATATAGTTCACAGCAGCTAAGTGCCTCTTCCATTAACATACTTCTCAGACACATTGCATCCATATCATCTCGACACACATTGCCCCTGCTTGTAATGTGCAGAAAGTGACAGTAAACAGGCCTTTTCCTACAACTAAAAAAAACCCAAAGGCTGCAATACCAAGAACATGAAACTGAATCCTCTTGGAAAATTTATCTACTGTTTGCAGAACAAAAGCAGAGATAGAAAAGCCTTAGATATCATTTTAGCATTTTATATGAACAAGGAGCTCTATATAGCATTAAATTATGTGATAAGAACAATGACAAATGAAGAATAAAACCCTATCATCAGCAGCTTTTTTCTTTAATTACTAGTAACTCTGTCAGCTGTACACAGATTTTAATTGTCCTAAGCTTCTGGCACAGAGAAAAACCCTTGGATTTTGGTGAAGTCTCCTCAATCTTTGTATTTCTTGGATGCCTCTCCACTGATTCTACAGGGATCTGACATATGCAGCTTGCGTGCTGACTGCTACATTTCCATGCCTGGGTCTGGACCTGTGTTTTGCCCTGAGGGCTCAGTTTAGTTACCCATTCCCTGTGACAAGTCTTGAGATGCCCGAAAAGTAGGCAGAAACGAGACAGGGCAACATTTTCTACCTTAAATCATTATACCTATTCATCCAGATTCTCAATGCCTTCTTGCATTTATTTGGGGAAAGGTACAGCCAACACAGACAAGGCTTCCTCAGAACCTCACTCAGTCCTCCACTATTTTTCTAGTTTCCATAAAAGATTTTCATAATGTTGTATTAAAAAAAATAAATAAAAATCTGTCTTTGATACAATATGGTGATGTTTCATTAGTAGCTAAGGGTTCTTGGTACAGCTGCTACCCCTTCCTTACTGTCTGCCTTTAATGAAAAGGATCATCAGGTCTCTCCACGTAAGTAATAATTTTTATGAGAAGTGCAGAATACCTGAGTTACGTTCTTCAATACGTGGGGTACATGTTCTCCAGCAGCAGAAGCAGTGTTTATTGGAAAACTGTATTAAAACTATTTAAAAAAAATCTTGCAAGACCAGTTACTAGAAACAAACACAAGTGTTTTTAGGAGCTGGAGGGTTCTGCCACCCCTGGATAGCTGCTTTTGAGGAAATAGAAAAAACCCTGACACTGATTACTGCTCCACATGCTGGAGAACCCATCCGCTGGACAACAGACAAGGTCAAGACATCCAGGCTTTTGAAGTAAGCTGCACCTACCCTCAGTCTGCCAGACTACGGTCAACTATTTATCTTGTTTGTGCAAGAAGGGCAAGGAATAGCCTCTGGGATGGTAACTAGCATGCTGAACGCTGCTGCTCTGCTCCCTTTACCCAGGGAAGGGGCTCCACACCACAACTGTGTAGTAACCTCCTGTGAAGCGAAAAAGACTTGATAATATTTAACAGACACGACATTTGTAAATCCCAACCTGGAACCATTTGTTAGCAGGTCCTCATATTATGTGAGCAGCAACTGGCTGACGGGTTATTCAAGAAGTATTGTGAATGAAGCAGGGAAAGCTTCATCACTCAGTCCAAAGCTGAGTGCACAAGCAGACAAATTCCTTGTGTTAACAAAAGAGGTCTATCAGCTGACCACATAAAAAGCTAAATATTTATACCGATTCTCAATACGCATTTGGGGTATGCTATGCTCCTGGGCAGTCATGGAAGCTGCAAGGGTTTGTAACTTCTAGTGGAAGTAGAATATTAAATCCTCTACAAGTTACTGAACCATTAAAAGCTATACAATTGCCAGAGAAACTTGCTATCATTCATCAGCCAGCCCAAACCAGCAGCAGGACAGGAGGAGAGATAAGAAACAAACGGATATTGCTACTAAAGTCACAACATGAGTTATACCAAACACCAGGCTTACAAGCAGCCCAAATGGTCTGACCTGGTGTTACTTGCTTCTTTAAAAGATGCATTTGACTGTTCCTCCTGAAGAAACTGACTCTTGCAAAATGAGCAAGTGACTAAAGACTCACAGGAAACATAGAGAGCAGATACGAAAAAACTTTCTACTTTACCTGAGCAATACCTAAGCTTTTGGGACCACTGCACTTAGCTGAACTAGCCCAGACACTGCTGAAAAACTGATTGACACCAGGAATTTATGCTGCAGCCAAGTAAGCAACTGTATCTTGCACACACTACCTTTAGCATTAGCTAATATTTAGTGAAGACCTTAGCACAAAGGTCTGCCTATTTGTTTTTACTGCTTCTCTCTAAACTCCATATTTCCTTCCTATTTTCTAGTGAGCTTTCATAACATGCCTGTCCTGAACCTCCCTGAGGATGCCTCTCAGCAATGTAAAAACCGTACAAGAGGGGATGGCCTTTCAGAAACAACACTGTCTGTGTTCAGTGTGAAGTACCCTTCAACCCTGGTGCTTGGGGGCAGAGTCCAAGGGTACCAAAGGGGCCAGCTCTCCTGCTCACGCCCAGAAGAAACTGCCCCAGTGCTCACAGCTTATGCTGTGTTTTCCCTCCCACCTTTAGTCCCACCAGGGATGTCACAGCTGCCTTACTCAGCCTTGAACTGCACCACCAGATTCACTCCCTAGTTAAAAATATCTCTTGCTTCCTGTCTCCTGCTGCTGGTGGTGAGTAACTACTGAGTCATGTTTAATCTCCCCGGCACATGAACTAACAAGAGCAGAGCATTTACATTACCCCAGCAAATAACCAAGTAAACGCATAAGTAACTCCATTATATAGTCACTCAAACTTTTATAAGTTAGTACTTACCTCCAAACCTTCACTCAACTCAGGCCCTTTCCAGGGATGTTTAAGCTTTTGAAGCTCGAGGGAGTTCCCAGCCAGACCCAATCAGAGGTAACATCTCCCACTGCTGTTAAGGTGGCACCACCCAGTTTAAAGAAGTAGGTCTGAAAATTGCCACCCAAGGCACTGTCTTCTTCATTTTGATGGTGTGGCTACATAGCCTCAGTTTCTACCATAGCCATCTATTCAAACTGCTGTCTTGGAATTATTGTGTCTTTTGACCACATACAAGAGTGAGGCACTTTAAAACACAGAAAATTCTAGATTTTTATGGGTCATATTTAGGATAACAGCAACCATTTAAAGACTTCACCGATTAAGTTTCTAGGCTTATTTCGTAGTAGCCCAGGTTTTTATTTTTCAGTGCTGCATGGTACAGAAAAGATACCCAAAGTATGGGATAACAGTGCACAATTACTTTGAAATACAATTTGCCAGGATCAAACTTAGTGATAACTTAGTATAAATATAGATGAGCAGTTAATGTCACAACTCACCCCATGCCTTAAGGCACTAGCTTTAATTTGGGAAATCAAATGTATGGTGCTAATAGTTAGAAATGAAATAAACTATGATTTTCCTACACTGTTTCCATTAAATGGAATCTATCTACATTTCAGATGAAAATACCAAAACTGAAAGCAGATGTGAACAGACACAAGGATGGCCTAGCAGATGGGAAATGAGATTTGGGTGCCAAAGACCAGGTTCTCACCTCTAGCACAGACCCACATATGATGTTGGACATGACTACACCCCTGCAGCCCATGACAGTACAGCTAATCTGAAGATCTGCTCACAGAACCCCCATTATTATCAAAATCGTATTTTAATTTGTATTTAAAGCCACGGATATACTAAAACAGCACCAAGGGTGGGAATCTGGGGACAGAAATCTCTAGGTAACTATCCTGAAGAAATCCCTCCAAAGCTGCTGCTTTCTTTTTTCTTCACAGTCAGAGTTTTGTTACGGTTTCTCTGCCTGGCAATTGTGGCAGCCTCTCTAGAGGATACATTTCCAATAGAGGTTTCTTGCAAATTTGTAATTTATGTGCATCAAAGGTGGATGGTGCCAGCAGAAAACAACTGTTTGCTGCTTCTTCGCACTTTGCCCAATTCTAACTCTCGCTCAGGCTTATCATTTAGTGAATAAAGCACAGCATTAAGTGTATGTTCCTTATTGTTTCCTTATGATTTGAGGTTTGGCGATGAGGGGTTGTGAAAAGTGTTCTGATGCTTTTTGGATCTGGTGAACATGGCCACATCCAACTTTGACTGTTGTTCCCTTCCCACACATTCCCATTTGACAGAAAGACTTTTTGTCTTGATCTCTTTCTGTTTTGCTTCCAGCACATCCTTTCATAATGTAATTATAAAACTCCTTTGACATCTAAAGGTATTGCATCAATGAGATTACTGTTAGCTATAACTTGAACAGCTGCTCTGTAAACCCCTTGAGTAGGAAAGAAAACAAGTTTATTTTATAAACAATTTGTTAAGCTACCCCCGTGAGTATTCAGGCAGCTGGCCTGGAGCCCAGGTACCACTTATGTGGTTTTGGGTTGGGCATAAGCAGATTTTAAATAGTGCATACACCAAGCCCTGGCATGTCAAGTTCCCACAGTGCTCTATGGAAATACTTCATTGTGCTGTTGACTGGGCAAATCAAAACTTTTCTTGAAACATACCTGCCCGCAATCCTCACAAACCACTAAGAGGCTGACTTGTGGGTCCGTGTCTGATTCCAGCTTCCAGCAGTGTCCTCTCAAAAGTGGGGACAGGATATATAACTAAATGGCACTAGAGAATTAAACAAGGGGGGTTAGGAGGATTCCCCCCATGCTGCTTATCAAGCTCCTAAAGTGAAGCACACCACCTCTGTGATTAAAAAGCAGTTGGAAATAATATGAATAGTTGGAAAGAGTCATGCATCACTTAAGGGTAGATGTGTTGCAGGCCTTCAGCAATTGCTCTGTTTCTGTCCTGGAAGCTATACTGGCTGCTTGAGGACAAGGTTAATCACACCTGTATTCACCCTCACAAATATTTCTGTGAGCTGTTTGGTGATTATCCTGGCCACCGGCACAGAAAAGCCTGAGAACAGTAATCCGGATTCTGATTTACACCCATTGTGCCGCTGGCACAAACAGCTTAAATGAAGCACCGGTTTACAGAATGTTATTGTTTGGATTGTTTAGTCTTTATTGACCTGAGTATCTCAACATGGCCAAAAGGTTGATTTATACAGGCACAAGATAGCCAAGATCAAGGCTTCAAAGCCAACTGGAAAATAAACTTAGTGGTATCAATTGAATTGTGAAAATTTTGTCTTAAATAATTCGGGTATTATAATGACTTCATCTTTTGATAGAAACTTGTGTATGTTTCCCCTACCTGGTCTCTTGGGTGTGCTGTGAAACTTTTTAAGAGTCAGTTTATGTGCATTGTTACTACTAAAACTAACAATAATTTAAGCTTAGGTTTAGAGTATCTTTTTATTTTCAAAAGAGGATGTAAAGAAGTAAAGGAGAAATTTCAATCCTATTTTTAGCTGATGTTAACCAGCTATAAAGCTGGACAACTCTTGGTTTGTTTCTTCCCCAATAAAGGTTTGGGGTGTTTTTCAATAAAAGAAAGATAATAATAATTTGAAAAAAAAAAATAAAATCAGCTCTCATCCTGTGAAATGTCTTTTTGGTTTTTGGTCCTTTATAAAATAAAAACAGTTGTATTTGTACTTTTTAGACAAGGAGAAATAGGTTTTATTGCCCACAAGTCCATTACTTTTCTTATAAAACACTTCTGTTTTCACTGAAGTTCATGTTTCCCTGTAGTTCATCAGAGTTTTCATAAGACTTCATAACCCTAGTACAGGTTTCATCATTAATTTATCTTCAAAGGCAAATATTCTCTCCTGCCTTTAAACTCTCTTACACAGATCTGACAGTATAAAAAGATTCAGTGAAACAAGATCAGTGACACATTACACATTACTTACACAATCTAGAACTATTCCACTTTCAAGATACCCTTTATTCACTGTTTGGCAGCATGCTCAAAACTGTAAAATGCACGGGTTTTAATGGCATTATGGGTAACATTCTAACGCTGCGTTTACCTTCCTTGCAGGTAACATAACAGAAAGTGGTTATACCTCCTCTAGTGGCTAGCAGCCACTTGTTCTTACTGCCTAACTCGTGCTTGCACCAGCAGTCTTGCTGACTCTGTAATCAATTGTGTGAGCCAGTTAAAAATCACCTTTAAAATAAAAGGTGTAGAGTTTTCAGTTGGTTGAGGTTATGTTGTAAACAGCAAGACAAGAAAAGCAGGGAAGGAGACAGTGTGAGCAAGGGAGGCTTATCTTTTTTTGGTGAAAGAGTTGGCTGTAAAGCCACAGCTTGAACTATTCACTATGAATAGGGTACACAGTGATGACATCAGATATTACATAGAACCCTTGCAGGGGATTTTGCACCTACCAAGCATATTGAAATGTGCCAAATGCCTGCTGCAAGCAGTGATGGGAACCCTCCAGTTAGCTGGTCTGACTTGTTTTGCCCAAACTTGGCATCTTGCATTTTTTTGGTTATTGTTGCTATACCCAGGTGCGAAGAAGTGCCACAAGAAGCATGCAGGAGATCTGCACAATCCTTGTGAACAGCTGACACTTTTTCTGCACCTTCAGAGGTTCACACACAAATACTATTTCCATTGGAATTAATTGCAACCTACCAAAATATAAGCAAACACTATGCAGAGTAATCTATGAAGATGCCATACCATCACCAGAAACCATAACTTCTAGTAAACCCTGTATCCTGGACTCACTATTAAGTCAGTAACAGCTTTCACAGTGCTTTAAATGGGAATGAGCTGTAATTCCATTGACAGTGAGTGTTTTAAACAATTGGAATAATCTCCCCAGGGAAGTGGTAGACTCCCCAACACTGGACACTTTTAAGATTTGTTTGGTCAGAGTACTGGAATGGTCAAAACCAGGTTGGGTAGGAACACAACCCTTACTCCCACTAAGCATAACTTTTGCCTATCAGCATAACTTCTGGCTATCAGAGTGATGCTGTAGGCTGATCTGTGCGTAAACAGGACTTACCTGAGCAAGGGTTGAAGACAAACCCAAGTCTTTCTTGGAAAATACATCAAAACTGCCTGTCTAACATCTATGTGCTTTAGAACAGTTAAGAGTGAAACAACTGCTGAGGTTATCCTGCATTCTTAACTAATTTTGAGCCAGGAATTATTGGGCTAGAAACACTGAGAGACCTGGGAGAAACACCAACAAACGGCTGTATATCTTTTGCTTATTACTGTCTCTAAGCTGGTAACAGAACTGAAGTGCTCTGATGTGCCTTAAAACCATTATCAAAGTCAGCTAAAGACCTAAATGTCCTAGAGAGCTCTACCAGGACTCAAGGACACTCAGTGAGGGCATCTTTTGTAAAAGATTTAGATATAATCTGAATCCCTCCTTAGTTTGTCCAGAATATGGAAGATCATGATAATAGCCTATAGACTGTACACGCTAGAAACTAAACTGGTTAACCTGTGTGGGGGTATCCAAGCACGATCATCCTTAGACAGGGTTAACCCACACCACCATGTTGCATCGCGTGTGCTCCTAAAACCAGGAAGTTGCTATTTTAACTGTATATAGCTATGTTTACACATTTATTTGATTGTAACAGTTTTGAGCCAAAAAGGATACCTGGACCCTTCAGTCTGAATGTTGATGCTGATCAGACCATGAAATCTCACTTAGGAATTTCTACATTCACCCCACACCATCTTGTCTCATACTGCTCTGACCTGCTCCCTCTCATGTCCCCATCCTGCAGACAGTATGATGTCCTGGTTTAAAGTACTGCACCGACACCATTCTGTTTCTTCTGCTTTTGGTAAAATACAGAGAATTCCTGTTGTTATCCTTCCGGAATGGAAGGAAATGATTCTGCTACGTGCCTTTTCATATACTAGGAAATAGCATCTTGCTGCCTTTTGAACTATAACAGCACATTGTTTATGTCTGTCCTCAGCTGATAATGACAGGAACATCAAAATGAAGCCCATAAGGTCATCAGTTCCTCCAAGAAACATATCAATCCTTAAAACCAAAGCAAACAAAACCCTTAAATAAGAAAGCATCTTCATAAGCTGAGTTTTTCTTAGATCTGTGTTGTGATTGTAAAAGCTGAATTCCCACCCCTCTCCCCAAAAAAAATCCATTTTGCAGGTAAGATAAAGCAGCCCTCAGCCCAACAGCAGCTGTTCTTTTCTACCCTGCACCATGTAATACCAACCTGGGGGGAAAGTGCCCTACTCAGTGTATGATGGGTGGTTGCCTCCCAGGCCATCCGCTCCACCCCCGTTCTTTTGTGACAAGTTCTTTGTAGACATAAAGAGTGGTTGATGGTAACTCAATGGGGAGCCACCATGCTCACACCATAGTCAGTGAGGGGGAGACTTGGAGGCAAACCTACCTGAAAGGAGGGTGTAGTGATGTAGGGGTCAGTGTCTTCTCCCAGCTAACAAGTGATAGGACAAGAGGTAACAGCCTCAAGCTGCACCAGGGGAGGTTGAGATTGGATATTAGGAAAAACTTCTTCACTGAGAGGGTGATCAGGTATCAGAACAGGCTTGGAGTGGATTGGAGAGACAAGAGATGTCCCTACAGGGGGAAAACAGCTCTCAGCAGGAGTTGCAACTATGGAGCTCTGCGTATGAAATGCCAGTATGATGAAATCTGGTGCTCCTTTGACTTAATGGCTCTACAGCAGAATACAGTTCCTGCTGAGACTAGTCCATTAAAAAAATAACAATGAATTGCCCCATTTATGAAGCCATTCAAGAATTAAAATGCTGCTTGCAAAGTATGGTGTATTTGATCAACTGAACAGTCTGTGAAGTTTTGCTTAGCAACAGGCTTTATTGATAGAAAGAAATGTGACCACTAGAAGGGTAAGTAATGCAATAGTCTGAATGCTTGTATTTTAATCTGGATTATTACAGAAGAAACTGGACGTTCCTTTGAAGTTTCTTCTGATTCTGGATCACCACAGCTAGAAAGTGAGAGGCTTTGAAAACACATTCCCATCCTTCACCTACATATGCAAGAAATGAATGTTTAGGTACTTTCAGCATTCATTGATATAAGGACTGCCAGATTTGAAAAACCTGGTTGCTGCCTTTTCTCCCCTTTGATTGAAATGTGGCTTTCAGTGGTGATTGAGTAACTCTTATGCTGAAATGGACATTTTTTTAGAAGTTTTAAAGTTTTCCTTAGAAGTGACTTCATTTTTTCTGTTATCTCCTACTTAGCAACTTAATGCTTACTTATCCTGAATTTCAGGGAAATGAAAAGGTTACCAAATCCTGTGAGTTGATTGTGCAACAGCAAAACTGTATCAGCGTAGAATGAAACTGTACTGAAATGTTTTGTCAAAAATTAACTTGAATTTTTGCCACGTGAGTGACCTGTGAACTGTTATTCCAGCTGCTGCCCTCATAGTTTTGTATCATTATTAACTTATTATCTTTTACAAGTGTTTTAGATACTGCGAAGTTTGAAGTCACGGCCAGAAAACTGTAACTTTACTGCTTTGATGAAAGAGGCAAGATGGAGTCAATTCACTGGTTGTTAACAACATCTGGGGTGGACATTTGTTTTGGTGTTTTTAAGTTTAAGCTGCACATTGGTAAGCTTGTCTTTGAGGCAGATCACAGGTTATTAACCAAAAAAGAAAAGGCATCAGAAGACACAACTGTAAATGAGCATGGGCTACTCAGTATAATTAAACACACTTACTTTAGGTGCACAAAAGTACAGCTTCAAGTCAAATGTCTTCTGAGCAATGACACCGTAAAGCAGTTTCTTGCTTAATGCAAAAATGGATAATGCTTAATTAAGCATTCAGTTACTGACTCAGAGCTGTGGAGCTGGATGATAGGCATGTTCCTTGCATAAGAAGTATTATATCTGCCAAGCAAAACATCAATGGATTTGCTTTCTCTAGGCAGAGATGGGGAGAATGAAGAACCACCTGCTGCTGGAGATCAGGTTGGAGACCATCTAAGGAACACGGAGGTGCACAAACCATGAGACCTGATCACATTTGAGAACTTGTGGCAGTCTGGTGAAGCTGACTGGACAAGGGGAAACATAATCCCCTCTTAAAAAGGGGAAGCAAGGAAGGGCTGGGAAACTACAGGCCAGTGTTACCTTGGTGCCTGGCAAGATCGCAGAGCACATCCTCCTGGGAACTGTGCTAAGGCATATGGACAATAGGCGGGTGACTGATGACAGCCAGCACGGCAAATCATGTTGATGTGAAGAAGAGGTTTTGGAAACCTGAGAGCAGTTTGAGAAGCTCCTGCAAGGCGAGTCCACGTGAAACCTCAGGAAATTGGCTTGATCTGATACCAGGAAATAAAGGGTTAACATTGTGCCTGCTTGCT